TTAATGACTACATAATTAGTATATATTCATTTATTAATTATTTATAAGTAGGTAGGTATGTTACAATTATTTACTTAAGCCTTCGTAGGATTAGAGTTCTTAGTAAATACATACTTTTTATTACGTATCATAAATGGTATTCAGAGAAAAATTATTTTGAGTAAGTAAAAAGAGAACAGTGAAATCAAAAAAGTTTTATCTCAAAATTTTTCTCAGCTCTACTGATTTAAATTATTTATTATTAATAGTATTTATATTTATACATATTTAGAAAAACTGTATGTTTATAGTGTATAGATAAAAAAATAAAGAGTATTAATATATTGTATTATTTTTGAGTTTCCTTAGAACGTTTATTAATTAGACAGTTGTTTACCAAATAATCATAAACAACATACTAGGTATTCAATACGAGATCATTGAACCGATAAATCATTACAACACGTAGTTATCATATTATTTTTATATCTACGTCGGCTATAGTTAAAACAAAATGTATAGGTAACTGTATAATGTACTTATAATTGCACATTGACTATTTTTATATTCAGTGACAATTTTTGATTCCCAATTATTTATTTGTTTGTATAAATATACATAATAATTGTATCGGTGTATGCGTGAGTATATATATGCATAAGTGTACACCAGTTATTGAGCTAGGTATGTAATATTGTCATAAAAATTATATAATAATATAATATGCATGCAATGGTATTTTATTTACTTACCTATCTATATAAGTGCTGTATATTACATATGAAAGGTGTACAAACACTTAAGTTTAAATTGAATTTATTAGTAGTTCTGTTTTAATGTTATTGTTATGCTATATATTAAAAATATATTAATATATATAATATTCTACCCACATCAAATAATATTATATATATATATAACATATGTTATCATGTTATAAAATATTATAATATAATTTATTATCAAATATTTGTAGTGATGTTGTAATATTTTTATCATTACGTTGCTGATTAGTTAAAACTAATGCAAATGTTTATACTATCAAATATACTGTATATGTACGACATTCTTAGTCATATTAGTAAATATTTTGAAACATCTACTATACTCATCAAGTCATCTAGAATAGTATAAACTTCTATCATCACAAATATGTTATTTGCCGTAACAAAATCACGATTATTAATTTATTATTGGGTCGTGCTTAAAAAATTTCAAAAAAGTAATTTGTTTTATTACGAAAATTAATGGGTAAACTACTTAATTAATATAAATAATATTAATTAATTCTACTATAATACTAATCGGTGAAGCGATTTTTATGCTGATCTATTTGTTTTCATAATGTAGATTCACTATTTACGTATGCTAGTAATAATATAGTAGTTCTGGGTTATTTATTTATTATTGTAGAATAATGCTAAAGTGCAATATTATGACTAAAATATTTATAATACAACAATATGAATTATAGTTATTTGGATGAGTTACCATACTCCGAGTATATTCGATATTCAGGGTAACAGCGCGAGGTGATACCTATAGTGTAAGAGGGCAACTTGTTAAAATCATTTGACGTTGTAAATATTTTGGGCAAATGTATTAAAAAACGTAAATAGTATAATAGCAACTCTTGTAACCGGTTTTTTTTAATGTTTCTAAACTTAATTTTTGTAGTGACGATTATTAATTGACAATGATTTTTGTGATGACATATTGAATGATAAATAATTCATTTTAAACATACTTATTAGACAGTCATTTAATATTAGTGTAATTTTTATAGTTATATATACATTTTTTTATTTTTTTTATAAGTTCATGTTCTAATATAATATGTATTATCACCATTTGTGGCTGTAAAATTAGACTCAGAGATTTTAGAACCTGAAGACCTCGACTATTAAACAATTTAAAAATCAACAAGTTCGGGTGTTATCTCACCGATTCGTTGGTGGTCTTTGAGGTTTATTTATGTGTACTTTTTCCTACGAGTAATTAACCATTGAAAACGTACATGCAATAATTCGTTAAAATATGATTAAAATATTTGATATGATAAAAAATTTTATGTACAGACCCATAAAATGTTTATTAAAATGCCAATAATAGTTTTAAATTAAACCCAATAAAAAAATAAATTTTAAATACTTTGTTACAATACTTTTTATTTTATATCTACACTTATTTATAATTATATTAATTATTGATATATTTATTATTTATTGCAGAAACACTATCTTAACTACCAAATGCTCTGTTTCCTATTGCTATTGGACAATAAGTCTTTAATTTTTCTATTAGTGCTCGCACATACTTTATTTTTGAATGTTTTTATTGTAAAAGTCAACTTTGAATTAAGGTAATCATTATTCAAATCAATTTAATTAAAAATATTTACTCTTTTAGTGTCCAATACTCCTGCTATACACTTATAACTATAGTGCAAAATTTTACAAATAAATTATACTGAAATTTATAAGTACTTTTTCACGGCTATGAATTTTAATAAGTGAATCATTTTTTAATATATTATATCTATATATAAATTGAATGACATATTATGTTGATTTGCTTAAATAAATATTGTGAAATGCACTAATGTATTATGTATAACCCGCAAAGTTGTCTATTATGATATTATTTATTTACACATTATATCAAGGTACAATTAAATGACGTAGATAAAAAAAGATTGTTTAATATATAGATTTAAAAAAAATCTATTGCAGAGTTATTGATTGAACTGTCGATTATCTGTTTGAACAATGTAATAAAATACCTATAGCTGTTAATATATTATGATATATCAAAATATGCAATATGTAGTTGGTAGATCAGCCGCAGCTGATATATTTAGTGTGTTTTTTATAGACAGTTGATACTAACTAGATACCATCAACTTCCGTTTATATTATACGAGAAAAAATTAAAATTGCAGCAATATAATTTTTATTAAATAATTCTAATATACTATAAAAATTATAATTTAATTTTAGAGTTTAAGTTATTAAAAATTAATAGACTGCATAATTTAAAGATCCAGATATTATTAGATACCTATATAACATTTGATATAATTTTTTTTCTTTTTCATTTATTTATTACCGCTTGTTTTATTGGTGTGTAGTTAATAAAAGTATAAAGTATAAAAATATAATACCATAAGAAACCAAGTTAAAATTATATATTTCGGATTGTATGAAAAATCTCTGAACATTTCATGATCGATGATAATAGGCTGTAGGTAATAGTTTTCACTTAACACGGATTAGTGGCCCATAATTGGTCAATTAAATTAATTCAATTCTATGCTATTCGGAACTAGTCTGCAATAAATGTTTTACAGTTTCATTATGTTTACAAGTTATTTAAATATTAAAATTATGAATAAAAATTTATGTTATACTCATCGACATGTAATTTAATAATATAACATTACACAATACTAATTACATATTCATGTTACAAAATGTAACGAGCACAATTAAAATAAAATTATCAGAAATTATTTTATTACAATAAATGTTTATCTATACTTAGTAGGTAGACTTTTTATATAATATAATATATATATATATATTTAGAACAAAAGCAAGTATTTATGGATTTGTTCTTAACAATAATATTAATACTAGTTTATCAACTATTGTTACTAAAAGAATGATTAGGTATGCTTGTAAAATGTATGTATTATATTTATAATTAATAATTATAACACTTAGGTATATATAACGCATAACGCATAACGTATAATAATATAATTTAATATTTACTTATATATATTGTAGATATATAAAATATTAATTAAATTATAAAAAAAAACAAAAATGTATCAATTATACATTTCTATATCAATATAAACAATTAATATTTTAAGTCTATTCCAAGATGATTTTACTAAGTTATAAGCAATCGTTATACTGGTTGTATTTCTATTTAGTATATTTTAATAAAGTCTACTCTGTTAAATCTTAGTGCTATTTCTTTCTACAATTATTCAATAAATAGAAGGTATAATAAAATTGTTTGTAATTAATAACACGTCATAAAAATGTTTACATAAAACCATAAGAAAAAAAGTTAATATATAATTTTGAAATATTTTACACGAGAATTACAGGATACTGGATATCGTAATAATGTTGTTGTACAAGTATCAGTTATTTATCATAAAAATAAGATAATAACATAACAACAAAATTGAATACAATAAATGTATATTATATTTTAATTAGTTATATCTGCAGGAGGCAGGAAACTATTATACTTATAAAAATCTATAGGTATCGTGCATATTCTATTATATACACGTCTACGGATCGGATTGTAAAATACGAGAATATTGAAGTCTGACGATAGTATTGCATGAGTATATACCGACAACTACAACGCATTCCGTACACGGGTTTTTATACATTATTTAACGACATTCGTATCTCATAATATTTTAATATACATAATATATATATATATGCTTATATAGTTAGGTGGTTTACCTACACCGTATACCTAAACCAGCTACCTCTGTAATATACCTGTATATTATTACATAATAAATATTGGAAGCGGTGCGCGGAATGCGACGACCATTCACAAATGAAAAAAATAATAATATATAAAAGAACCTCCACAGAGGGGACTGCTCTGAGAAAAACGATAAGAGAAAAAGAAGCATAAAAACTCAGTGGCGGCCAGGAGCAGGATCGAGGAGTCGCCGCGTATCCTCGTCGTCGCGGTGGTCGCGTCGTCTCCACCGCGGCGGCGGCGGCGCGCTCACACAAACACGCGCGCGCTCAAACGCACACGCACGCAACGGCGACCGGTTGCGGCCAGCGCTGTTTTACGAGCGCACACGCATGCACACAGACTCACACACACGCACACGCACACGTATGAAACCACACCCACGCTGCCAATCAAAAGGAGACCGGTCTCTCTCGCGACGCTATCGGCGGCGTCCGAGTGTCTGCCGCGTCGCTACCGCGCGGCACACCGTCACGGTAATATACGCACGCACGCGCCTCCGGCAGCAGTGCCGCACCGTTGCCGCTGCCGGCACGCGGCGCGCATCCGGGCCCGCAGGCCCACTGCCGTGGCCGCTGCAGTCGACATGGCTGCCGAGAGGACCGCCGACAGTCGCGTCGTCCCGACGACGTTGGCTGTGTAATAACGTCATCCTGCGTGACGTTTGTCAGACGTGTGTACTGCGCAAACAATGACGTATTCGACAAACAATGGAATGATTTTTAATATTCATACATTCTTCTATTGCAGGTAAGAGATTTTACAAAATTACACATAGCTGCCACACGCACATCCTCACAAACATTCAATGTGCCCTACTCTCACCTATGGGTGGAGATTTAAATGATTTAATGGGATTTTTCATTTCGAAGAGGAGGCTCAAGAAATCGTCTCACAAAAAATAGCTAATTAATAATACAAAAAAAGAAAAAAAAAACTGTTATCGTTTTAATTTTGGGGTCTTGGACTCCTTCTTCGATCACCAAATATGTAGTACTACCGCCTCATAAATGACATCGAAACGGTATCAAATTCGTGCCCGATATACCTCCTCAGGAGTGTCGCATAATTACTGATGTTGTGGAGTCGTCACGCTGGAATGAAAATTGATAAGAATTTTAACTTATCAACCATATTTTGTTGAAATTTGTATGAATGTTCGGTATAAGAATACAAAACTTAGAAAAACTTTCGTGTTTTTTGATTTGAATATGTAAGTGCTCGTTCATTATGGTATCCCTGTATAGTAAGATCGTATGCAACAGTCCCCCCTACTTCGCTCCTCGAACCACACCTGTGACAATCCCACGGGAACTCTCCTTGCGAGCTCAGGTCAGATCTATTATAGATCTCTCTCTTTCGCTCTCATTCACTCACTCTCTCCTCTCACTTATACTATTTCACTCCTTCTCTTTCTCTCTCGCTTAGCGCGACCAGGGCGCATTCGTACTTAATCACGCGCGTATCGTCATGGAATTCGGAATGTACGGTTTTTTTTCCATTTCAAACTTGTTTTTCGTGTCAGCACATTTTTTTTACAATCGATCAATGTTGTAAACAAGTCGGTAACCTATTGACACTAATGTGAATGCACACACGCGCATACGCGCGCGCCCGGCTCGCAGTACGACTGCAGGGAAACGCGATGATTTTTTTTTTTTCTTAGCGAATGGTCACATTTAGTAGAATCAGATTTTTTTCCTCCATCTATACTATAACTAAGGTGCACTGATTTTTTACGGAAAAAAATAAAAAAATAAATGAAAATTACCATTCTACGTAACGAGTCATTTCCAGTTTGTATTATATTACGGAACGTCGAGTCGTTAATCATCGTGTAAACATGTTGCTGATGACGTGAAGAGCACGTGGATCAAATCGATAAGGCGTTTAGAGTAGGTACATGTTTATTTTAAATGCGTGTAGGTCCCATTATTATTTTAAGTATTTCGTAACAAATGTCTTCCAAGTGTTCACGTCGAAAACGCACAAATAAATCGACGACGAAGAGGAGTAATAGTGATGTCTTATCCCATTGTACTATTGTTTTATCCGATCCGACTGGTCGATAAATATTTTTCTGCGACAATAATAAACTGCACGTTTTTGTTCGGTTTGGTCAATAAAATGTTGAATGCTCTTAATAAGTCTCGACGTCACTTAAACAGAGATTAATCAAGAACGAGAACGAGAATAATCATGTTGAATATTTCCATTGGTATGTAAATAGTGAGTTTATCAATCGTGACCGTGTTTTTCAACGGTACAACTGTTATTAGTTATGAGTGTTATGACTTATGACACTTATTATTATTTATTGTCATCATATTTCACTTTTAAATGATCTTCATTCAAATAATTATTGAAATTGTATGTAAGGTGTATGTATCACTAAATAAGTTTTTAAATTTAAATTTATAAAAACGGTAATTAGTAAGTAGTTATGGTAAAACAATAAAATAATAATTTTTAAACATACGAGATATTGTAGGTATAATAGGTATACACTATGTAGTTAAAAAAAAAAAAAAATTATAAAAGTATAGATTTATTATATAGAAATAAAAATTAAACAATAGCCACAACATACAATAAAAATACATTAGGCAAATAATAGAGTTGTTGGTTGAATTAACTGGCATGATTGACAGGGCTATGTAACACAGTCATACCTATACTTATCTTATATCCTTATTCATTTTAATATATTTTATGTATACATATAATTCTGTGCAATAAAGAAACGGTTAATTCGTTATATATAGTAGTCAACCACACAGCATGAGACCATATTAACACCAAAACAGTTATTGATATATTATATCATGTATTTATGTATTAGTTATGGGGACGGGAGTGGGAAGATGCGATAATAATTTTAGTTATGTTTCCATTTATTTTGGAAAAAAATATTTTTTTAAATTGTGTAATAACCTAACCTGTTCCCTGAGAACGGATTGTAAATTTTAAATTAACCGTAAAGCTATGTTATTAAAAGTCAACTGATTAAATATACAATCGAAATTTACAGAGGGTATAAAAAAGGGTTTTTCTTAGAAATTACACATCTTAGGCGATGATAGGAGGTATTAATTTTTAATTTTTTTTGATAAATTGGCTATGAACATTTTTTACTATTTTTTTATTAGTTGAGTAAGTAGTTGTATTTTTTAATTTTACAAAAGTCTTGTTAAATTGATTAGTTTTTTCATATTATAGTTGTTTTTTTGTTTCTATACAGTGACTTTTTATCTTTTTTCAAGTTAAATAGTTCTGCTATTTAGTACTTACTCATCATCACTCATCACAATAAAATTACGGATATGCGATTATAGCGTGGAGAAATATCTAATATTAATATAAAAGATTATTTTATTATACAATATACATTACAAATGAAAATTATAAATTAAATATTCAAATATATATATATATATGTATAAATATATTATTAAATTTTAAATTTAATTTTTTTTAAATTATACAAGTGGCATATTGATACGGGGGAAATAAAATATAGAATGAATATAGTGTAACGTGGTCGGGATTTATAATTGTTACAATAGTAATGATCGTTTTAAATCCATCAAAATTGACCTATTTTGGTTGATAATGCTTTCGCTTCTATAAAATACTTCAACTTACACCGAAATTGACCTAAGGTTGATGGTTTTATGATATTTGAGAATACCGATGTATCATGATTCCGAAATTACCATTGTTATCAAAAACTTTGTATCATATTCAAGATAATTTATAAATCTATAGTTATGTGTAACAAAATAAATAATGTTTAATATTTTATTTATTTATTTATAGAATGGAATTTAATTTGAATACAGCACTCTATAAGTTTGTACAAATCAACATATATATGATGAGGAACGTTCTATATCAGAAAATACCATTATTTCTCAGTGATTATCGAAAATATCATACCATCATAACCGGTTATACCGTTGATACCAGTCTAGTAAACAAATACCGGATACTGGTATCGAAATCTGAAATACCGTCTTGTGCATATCATGATGATGTAAAACAATAAAATAATTTAAATATTAAAAAAAAATCAAAGCGACAAACATATCATATCATTCGGACGGCTACAGGCAGGCAGGATTCGCGTAGAGAGCTGACAACGACTCGGTGGCGTCGAGTGCGCGTCATCGACGACGTGGGCGAGGGCTAGGAATTCTCCTGATATAATATTAAACGTAAGTATGTATATAAAATATTATTTTTAAGGGGACAGCGTTAAGGGGGATGGCGTGCGCGCAGAGGGGAGGGTGTCGGCGTATAGGTGGTCACGCCATCCCCTCCGCTGCCGCCGCCCATTCGGCCGCCCGATCGCCCGTCCGCCGACCGTCGACGCGTGGCCACCACAACTATCGGGTCTCGGTGGGAGCTCTCTTATGCCGCCAACCCGGCCGACCGGCCAGCCGTGCCGGCAACCGCATCAGCGTTCGTCATCAGTTCACGGGCCACTCTCGAACCGCGCGGTACTGTTTTCACTCTCGCCGCAGTCTCTTGCTGTGCGTCGGGCGCCACACGACGACGGAAACACGTTCGCAGACGGGGCTCACGCTGTTTTGATAATATTATTATCTGTTATTAGTAATACGCGTTCGTCCGCATTGCGACTTTGTTAAAAAAAAAAAAAAATCGGAGGTTCGAAAGTTTCGTTTTGCCGTCACGCCAACGATATAACAATAGTTTTATTAATATTAATGGTTATTAACGTGACGTCTTGTTCGTTTCGACCGCGGAGTTTGCTTTACGCGATTGCCCGCTCTGATCTACATCAATAACCGTATAAATTATTTCATTACAATATTGTAATGTTCCGTCATCGAATACAACAAAAATAACTTTCTACATCGGTTTCCGTTTTATTAGTATTGTTTTGTTTAGTTATTTTTTTTTTTTTATGAAATTCGCGGTTTATTTCGAGGTGTATCGCTTATCCGCGCTGTACCAAAATTGTTGACATTTAGTACAACGAACGAATACGCCGGCCATATTTGTCGGCATGAAAACCGACAAAGACCGTGTCACAGGTACGTGTCGTGTGCTCTATTTAACCTATTACTTGTGAGCTTTTCGTAAAAAAAAAAATAGTCCAAAACATACCACGTGTACGACGATTTTGTGTCTATAGGCTCCACGATGTCTGGGGGGCCCGCGACGACTACCAAGATTCTAGTTGTTATCGCAGTTCATCGCATGAGAAGTGTATGGAACATAATATCACATGTGTGCGTATGAGGAAAACATTAAAATAATTGCGTTGTTATCAACAGTTTGAGATAATTTATTTCAGTTTTCGTCGTTTAATTTTTTATCTCCCATTCGCAGTTGGTTTTTGATATAGGTAACGCATATAGACACGTGAATAAACATATGTACAAGTAGTAATAATAATCATAGCGTAATGCGTTTATTTCATATAATATATTAAAACATATTATTGAATTATTTATACTTCCAAAAAATTATTGATTGATGATTATAGCTCCGAGTTGATCAAAAAGCATTAAAATCCGTACCTCTATCATCAAAATTTCAGTACGTAAAACAATATTCGTCAGCACTCGGTGTGTTCGAAAATCGAACTGAAAACAACAGAAAATATTATAGAAAACATGTTATTTCGTTAACTTTTATGCGTCTAATACATTTGTGTGCACTGTATCACGTATTCACATTGCACGTACCTATCATTCAGCGGTATAAGCACCTGTAACGATAACAACCTGTTCCAAAATGCCGTTAATCTAACCAATGGCTGTGACCTTTCTCTTTCGCGGTGGTAATGGATTTTTTTATTTTGCGATTCCGTATTACACCCATTGTCACTTTTCGAAAGGTCATCTGTCCACCTTGAAACTATTCTTGTGTTGTAAACGGTTACCGCATAGGATCATAATAATATTTTGTATCTATATGATATAATTTGTAGGTACGTTTATAAATATGAATGCTCCATTTTTTTCTCATCGATCAAAAAATTCAATTAATTGACCATATACCTACCAACGCGACTGTAAAATACAATTTAACCTAGAAAAACAGTAATCAATTGAAAACGAAGATAATTTTATGTATTATACGCTATATGTTTGCATAATCTGTAATTAATGTGCGTAATATTTCAGTATTTGTACAATGAACTATATACCTAATATTGTTGAAATCTTATTATGATTTCAGACGTTTGCACTGTACGCGTGCACCCGCTTGATTAATTCGAAATAATAAGCACTGCACAGTGTGGTAATAAAATACGATGAATTTAGACAACATAAAAAAAATTTCTATTTAGAGTTTAATTTATATTTGAATTTTCTATTTTAAATAAAATTATTAATTTTTCGTTGTAGCAGCGTCAATTATTATATTATATTCAATTATTACAGTAGAAAAACTTTATTATTATGATACTAAATTAAATTAGTTATGGAGTGTTGTCAACCACAAAGTTGTTTCATGTAGTTTTTCAATTTATAAATCTTTAATAAATTTTACAAACATAAAATTAAAGTTTTTAATAAAAATAATTATAATTAGATTTTATAATAAGTATTCTAAATTATCCAAAAAATTGGTTTTTTTTTTTTTTTGTCATATTACGTTTGAATCAAAAAATGTATGGTTAAACTATTTTTTCAAGACTATAACATGAAAATATAGGTACCATACTACTACTTTACAGTATTTAATTAAATATTCATGAAAACTTAATGTTTCTACTATTTGAACTGCTACAATGACCTTTCAATTAAATTAAATTCAATAATAAGGCATAATATACAGATATATCTATGAACTAATACACAAATTATTTTTTATCCGCCGAATTAAATTAATCTATTGTTTGTTGGTTATTTGATATTCTAAAACTTTATTTATGTTTGGAGAACGAAGCAATAATACTCAAACGTATACCTACGTTTTTAGATTTACCTTTACAGACATCAGGGCGACAGAGTGTGATCTTAGACTTTTCTTAGTACCTTATGTGAATACGTTGATCAAAATAACATTATAATTGAACACAGCACTTAAACAATATAAAAAATTTATATGGATTAGCTTTGTGGAATACTAATTACAAATGTTTTTAGACATCATAAAATGAATGACACAAAAGAAAACTATTATCAATGAAGCATAAAATCGCAATGATTGTCACGTGCTGCACTTTTTTTCGTTGTCTTCGTATTTCTTTACTCGTGAAGATTGTAAAATGAACTCTAATATTATAAGCCTTTTACGGTAGCTGGTCAATTAAATACAGGTTTCATTTTCACCAATACGTGTGTCGCTTACTATATTAAATATACGTCCAAAAATAATGGCTCTACGCAAACCCAAATAATAAAAGCAATAATTATTATTAATTATACATAAATCTAAAGACTTAGTTAATAGTTAATTTACAGTAAAATTCAGGAATACGTATTGTAAATAAAATTTATTACTATTCCGTAAAAAAATATTTAGTCTTTGACCTTTCGATGACTATAATCTCTTCATTTTACGGTATTGTTTTTAAATTTTCTCCGATTTGATTATATTATGTGGAATAATATTTCGTAAAAGTTTATATATCTAACAGACTCTTGGTCAATGTTTATTTTTTATTTTTTATCATTGATAAACTCATTCTATGATTATTATGAAGTCTATTTAAAATATGTAAACACCTATAAAAAATTTAAATTCAATAATACTAATTCATATTATATACATATGGGTAATTAATATTATTTGTATTTTACTCTTCTTTTAAACAAATCAAATACTATAATATGTAATTATATTAAAAGTTATGACAAATATATACAGTTATAATCGACATATCATTGATATAACTAATCAAAGTGAAAGATGTTCAGCTAATATCCTTGTTCTAAAAGTTTAACATCATCAAAATATTTATATAAATATTTATTATAATTATTTATAAAAATATTTTTCATTGCTTGATCGTCAATCACTCGAACAAATATTCTTTTTTATTTATAATACCAATCATGATTTGTTTTTTTATTTTTACCTATCTAAAAATTTTATGAAAATTAAAAAAAACCCTTATTTAAATCAAAAAATATAATTTTTGGAGACCATAAATATCTATGGCAATTATATAAATACATATATTGTCTTCATTTAATATATAAAAATTAATACCTGATTCTTTTTATTAAGCAGTTTATTTTCATTTTTTAAAGAATATATATTTAGTTGCTATTTTTTTTTTCAAAATTTTAAATTTCTTATAAAAATTATTATGTATAAAGGTTTTTAAAATGTATTAAATATTGTTAGAATATAAACACGTATTATTGAAGTAATATTTTAAGCCTGAATATTTAAAATTATAATTTTTTTCAAAAAATAAAAATAATAAATTTCTAATTTTTAACTGCTTATATAAAGAATGATTAAAAAAAAGAAATATAAATTTGTGTTATCTGTGTTATCTCTAATTTAGAAAAAATTAAAAAATATAACATAAAACGTAATTGAAACGAAATTTCTAATAACATTTTGTAGAATTTGTATTTATTATAGCTTGACTTTAAAATGAAAATGGTTTCAATAACTAATAGGTAGGAACTTAAATTTGTTGCAACGTCTTAATAAAGGTGTTTGTACCGTGATTTAAACAAAACCGATGACATATATAAATAATATAATGATAATTAAATCGAAGCTAATAGAGATTATAATTATTATACGTAATATCATTATTATCGTGAGTAGTATGGCAAATGGACTGATTAATGTTTTATAGGCACGTGTCTAACGTCTGATACAATCACATTCGGTTAATTGATCAGGCCAATATCATTTTGTTTACCCGTCCGAAAACATATTATAATTTATTGTGTCCTAAACAGAAAACAAATTAACGATATTATGTTCACTGGTTCGTAGGTGCTTGATCGACAATGATAAGTGGTGTGCTGTTGATGGTGGCTGTGATATCAGGCATAGTGTGCGGCGAAACGTCGAGACCATCGGGCGCTAGAGCCGCGTTTAAGGACGCTGGCCAGGCGGAAAGGCACTTGCTGGCCGCGCTGGGCATGAAGCGCCGACCGGTGGTGGACAAGTCCAAAGTGGAGATACCAGCCGCCATGCTGGAGCTTTATAGGATGCAAATGTCGTACGAATACGACACCACGGCCTTACCGTTACCGGGACACCATGTCAAGTCCGCGAATACCGCCCGCACTTACTTGCATAGAGGTAAGTCCGATTTCAATTTATAATATATGCATGTCATAATAATATAATATATATATATACACGTAATATGCTTGTACTGTACGTTATTATAATTTAGATAGGCAGGTACACCGAATATATTGTAATGCAACTTTTAGTTTCGATACGTCTTGCAAAACTAATATAGGTAATATAATATGGAAATAATGAATCTATTAAACTATAATATACAATATGCGCAACCCATATTTGCATACGAAAAATTGCGTTCTAGACAAACAACACTAAAAAACATTTGAAAATCATAAACTAATATATTCCAACTTTTAATATTAAAATAAATTACAAATCGTACAAACTACAAGTTGTATAGGAAAAACCCAGTTTTTAACATTTTCTATTTAGCTTTAAATTTATTTTTTAAATAATATTACGTATATAAAAGGGTAGTAGGTACATTAGAAAAAAAAGTATATCATATTTTTACTATTGGTTATTTTTCAGTCGTAAGTTTTTTGAATTTTTTGGAATTATCAGAAATATCATTTTTCTGTATATTTCTAGGTGATTAATAATGATAAAAAAAAAAAAAAATGAAGTAGGTATTATAATATGACCAGGAATTCCAATTATTTCAATCGTTATTATAACACATATTTTTATCTTAGTACATTTTAGTCTTTTTTTTTTTATTAAACTACTTTAACACTTTAAATTTAAATGTTCAAATTATTAGTCATTGGTAATTTACATTTACATATGAGATTCTCCCAATTTAAATATAAATTAATTTAATAAAATAAGGAACTGTATTATGAAATATTAGAAAAAAACAAAAATTCTATAATTATAAGTACATTTTGAAAATATTTATTGATTTTACCTATTGTATTGTGGGTCTTTAATTTAATTTGGGGTTGCTTAAAACAGTCAAACGTATATTATAATAGTTCGAAACTATTAAAAAATTAAACAATATTATCAATGTAGATAATAACAAAAATTCATTATATTTGAAATATAAAATTAAATTATCATAATAAAAAATAAAACTTTGAACCTTTATAATAATAAATAATTTAAAAAATATGTAAGTGAATTTCTGAACATGTATAATATAAATTTTTATTTAATATCTGGAAACAATACCTATTTGAAAATTGCGTATAACAAGTATACGATTTTCAATTTTATATGATATTAGTTTAATATGTGATATACTATTTTTGACCTACTAAATACACAATATTATATAATATGGTGTTCAATATGTAAATCACAATGACATAAATTAAATGTAACTAAAACACTATTGCTTTTATTTTTATACATATCCTCTGTGCCATGACAAATGATTTTTAACATTCGTATATATATTATATATTTATACATATCAAATTAAAAAGGAAACTAAATTTCGTGTTATTATTTGATATTTAATATATATATACATATATTTAAATGTGCAGCATACATATTATTAATATCAATTACACCTCATGGTAAATAATTAATTATTTATGAATTTATGATGAATCAAAAAATAACACTTATTTGTCATTTCACATTTATTTTTAAATTTAATATGATAGGTTAATTATTTATTATTTTTAAGCGTATCATACGATTTAAAATTTTAATAATCATAAATAATATGCATTAATTATTAAATAAAAAAATTAGACTTAAAAAACTTAAATATTCTAAAAATTACCCTATGAAATAGGAAACTTCTGTTATATTTTCTGTAGTAAATACTTATTACCTATAGGATGTCTCGCTTAGAAAACTATTTTAAGCAGCTTCATATATTGCATAAAAAGTCTATGAATAAAAAAAAATTGTTATGGATACATTTATAATATGAATAGTTAAAAGTTCGTATTTATTAGATGTTTCTCTTGTATATCTCTATTTAGAGTTGTATGTGCATATTTAAAATCGAGATACAGAAATTATTATTTGATGCACAAAGTGATTTATTTAAATCAAAAATAATTAGTTTTTGGAAATATTTTTTTTACGTTATTTGAAATGGGTATATATTTAAATTTTTTGTCATAACAGTTTTTGTTTTTATTTTTTTAAAGATAATATACATTTTAAACTACACATTTCTTAGTAAAATATTTTTCTGAGAATATATAAATAGAATTTCAAGTGACTATTTAATTAGTTATTAATGATAAAAAATTAGATTACTATCCTAGTGGTAGACATTATATTGCTATTCAAAAAGGAAGCAATTATAATGAAAAAAATATAAAAAATATAGTTTTTTGAAAATTTCTCTTCGTAATGACGTCAAAATAGATAAAAAAAAAAAAAAATGTTAATACCTTTTGAGAACATGAGTGTTTATTTTTAAAAGAATCGCTTTGTATAATATAATGTAGTTAAAATACTCGTAATTTGTGATACATTTATCAAAAAGTGCTCTTTTAGTGTATACACTTCATGTTTATTAAAATGATAAAAGTTATTGTATAACATAATGGTACTTCGTAATATTTTTTTATCTGTCAAATTTAAAGTTGACATAATACGATTTGAATCAGGTTAAAGAAAAATTGATGCCAATAAATGGTATATACTATATTCACTAATCAATTATATCATCTAGGCTCAAGGTCATAATGTTTGTCTAATATTGATTACTAAAACATTTTTTTTATAAATGTATGTTTAATAATATTATAGTTAAAATAACATGTATTTGAAAATATTATACTGACAACCTTTATTGGTACATTTGTTGATATGGTGTATGTAATATCAAATATAATATGAGAAGATACGAATTATGTAATATATTATATATTACACATGAAATATTATAACGAAAGTACCTAAATCATGTGTTATATGTACGCTGCATAATATAGCTCACATACAGACGACAATATTTAAACTAAACAACTATTGCGATTGCATTATAACTGTATTTATAACGAGTATGAGTCCAAATCATTGATTAGACATTAACATGCAAGCGGCTAGAAATAGAAGGCTATTGACACGCACGTGTATGGTGGGAAAATGTGTGCAAACACGCAAAATCCCTCTGAAACATGGGACAAAAATAATTGGGTCGAAGTATTGGAACAACTTCAATATGTCGATAGTAATTTTGCCCATTTTTTTTTTTAAATGTAATTTATTTAACAAATATGTAGTTTCATAATTCGACGAAGGTAACAGAATTAATATAGTTAAAACTTAAATGTATACCTATTCAGAAACATTGAATATTAAAATAAAAAACTACTTATTCATGACTATACTTGAACTTCAATATTTTTCACTAGTAACATTTATAGAATTGTAATATGTATAATATATACATCATTCATTGTACCTTATAAAAAATTTAATTTTTTGATACGGAATGAATTTATGATACGATTTGCCAAGGTTATACAATTTTTAGTTTTTATGCCAAAAGAATAGTTGTTTTTTGTTTAAAAACTTCAAGCATAATATTTAATTTGTTTTTTTTTTATAACAATAAATAAGTAATAATCTATACGAGTACCAATATGCATTTGGTAATTACTGGCTTAAGTCAGCTGATGAATTATGACGAAATCGTTCGACAAAAATATCTAATACTTATTAAATTCCATAAATATTTGAATCATGAATCAGGTACTTAAAACAACTAAATTATATTATTATGTAACTATCAAAAAATAAATTTTGTTTGTAACTTATTAAGGAGATATCGCACCCGCATGTGTTGTCTCTGTCTTACACACGTATGACATGGTAAATTTTAATTCACTAGTTTCAATAGTATGCTTTTAGTTTTTATATTAGAGTGATTTGATTTATTATCAAACTTTTAGATGAGAACATTATCTGTATTCTCTCGTTGGTTTTTTCCGATATTTTAATTTTTAAGAGAATTATGTACATTTCCAAATATTTATATTTTTCATACTCATAACTCACTTAAAAATTAAAATATCGGAAAAATCCAACGAAAGAATACAGATAATGTTCTTATCTATATTTAAAAGTTTGATAATAGATCAAATCACTCTAATATCAAAACTAAAAGCATACTATTGAAACTAGTGAATGAAAATTTACTATGTCATACGTGTGTAGGACAGAGACAACACATGCGGGTGAGACGTCCTTTCAACATTTAAATTTTAAATTATATATTATAACTATACTTAAGCTATATTATAATATTTATATATTTGCATTAACGGAATGAATAACTAAGTAATCATTTTATTAAATAAAAATTTAAGTACATTTTAGAATTAATACCCTAACCAATATGATAACGTTTTATTTATTTATTTTTTAAATTTGTTAAACTAAATTATTAAAAATATATTTTATATCCACATTATTATACTTCAATTATTATTAATTTTAAATACGTGTTTTTATTCTGCTTAAATTATCTCCGTGCACTAATATAGTATAACGACTTTGGCCTAGTTAATTAATCTATTTTTTTTAAAGTTTTTTCAATAAATTTTGTCACTTAAACTCAATGACTATTCATGAATATTTTATTATTTTAACATAATAATCTAATAAAAATCTAAAATTGAATTCTATTTTAAAAATATTTAGTGAGCCATCTATGTTTTTTATTATCCTAACATTGCCGGTGGATTGTATTGATACTAAGCTATATTATTATGTTTTTACGACATCCTAAGAATTTGATCTCCATAATTTAATGTGATTAGTTTAAGATACTTCTAAATTAATGTTAACAACTATAATGGAAATTAAAAAAAAATGTTTGCACTTCTATTAACTGTTTAATATTGTCTAATGCCTAAACCGCACTTATAACTTATATCATGTGAATGTAATTTAAAACTTCTGTGTTATTATTATTTTATTTTGGCATAATTGTGATGTATTCCATTAATAGTTTGATCACTAGATCAAAATATTTTCATAACCAGTTTTGTTAAAATATCAAATGCTTATTTTACTTTAAGAACCACGGAACTGTACAATCGATTGGAAATAAATTAATGAAA